CAAAGCGAAACATTTTGAAATTACTTCACTAATATAAATAATTTGCTAATCCGCGGATATTCGATATAAAATAAAGATCTGTTACCATATTCGCGTATCAAGGTGGCCATTACTCGAATCCCTATTTAAATCCGGGGTCCTGAATTTATGGCGATCAATTGGTATTTAGTGTTTTTAATTGATAAATATTTAATATATAATTAAATATTACAGGCCGATCGGCCACGAACATTGTGGCCTTTTCAAGTTTCTTTCTTAACATGGACCACCCCAAACGAGTGTTACTAAGCACGGTTCTGAGCCACAGTTCGTTGCTCTATTGGGAGCCACCCTACACTTAAATTACCGGTACAAGGCTGATCTTAAAACCAGCCGATTTGGTTACAATCCATGCGCGCTTATATATAGAATATAAAAAATGTAGAGCAATGTCGTATATGTGCACATATGTATACGCACGGCTATATGCAAGCTGGTCATTGTTTAGCTGGCCGATTACTTGAACTTCCATTTACGTCTTCCTCAATAAAATTAAAGGAACAAATATATATTTAAATAAAACTTTTTTTTTAATAATAATGCGCCGTGCCTCTTAAAGTTTTACTCCTTGCTTATCTAAGAACGATAATTGTTTGTCAAGCTGGACAAGCAGTACGTGAACGTAGAGCACATACACTCACTGACTCACTTACAATGCTGCTTCTATTGTAATTAAACGTATTTAAGAGAGAAGTTATTGGAACAATCCTTAAAAGATTTCTTCATGATCATCACGCTGGATAAATATACTCAAATAAAATATACTCCTTTATGAAATTTCAAATAATTAATTTAATTATGCCGTTATGACCCAATCCTGTCCTTTCCTAAATTAAAATTCTAATCACTTACGAGATTTGTGCATTAAAAACAAATTGTTTGTTTTAATTTATTAAAGCAGATATCACAGAGTGGTTGATATTCAGGTGGGTCGAACCTGATGTTTAGTTGATCAAGACTGTTTCAACAAATCCCTCTTTAAGCTGAAGCTCAGAAATTACAAACCAATGCCGTTGCGACTTGTCAACGTGGCCACTTGCTTTGGTATTTCAATTTGAATACGAAAAAGAGAAAATCACTGCTGGACGATCTACAACGTACTGAACTCAGATAACTGTACTTCCGAGATATAGTTAGTTGCGAGTGCAAGGAGTTAAGAAAGTTCGCGCACGCATGGCGTACAAAAAGAAACAATACGAGGACTGAAGAATACAAAAAAAGTAGCCGTCACAAAAAGTAGGTTTTCTCTACTAAAGGAGAGAAAAGAGACGGAACAAATAAATTTTAGGTAGTCAAGCAGGCGCACACGGGAAAGTAACCTTATATGGACCGTGTATGTCTTCCGAGATTCAATCCGTATGCTGGGTGGGAGGACCATGAGATGCAGGAAGGAATGTCGGTTTTCGAGTCTATTTATATTGTAACTGGCTGACACTGATTCCATGTCTACCTTCGGCACTATATTACCTTATATATATATATATATATATATATATGTATCTATATACATAAGAGATTTCCACCTATGTACTGACTCATCACGATATCTCGGGAACCATTAGGCCTAGACATTTGAAATTTGGTGGGAATATTCCTTTTGGGGATTTTATGAAATTCCATCTACAGGGGGGCTACGGGGACGTTAATCTCTTATAAATTTATTTGTATATATATATTTCCACCTATATAAAGACTCATCCCGATATCACTTTAACCATAAGGCTTAGATACTTGAAATTTATATATATTGAGGTAGGAATATATTTTTGTCGAGTAGAGATCAGCTAAGAACGGAGTTTACGAAATTCCACCCGCGGTGTCAATTTAAAAAAAAACGCATTTTTAAACTATAGCTCTTATAGGTTTAAAACTTGTACAGAATGTCGTTTGAGTGGATCCCTGGATAGTTAAGATTCACAATTGAACCCGGTAGGTGGCGATTTTGTTAAGATCGCTGGTAAGACATATAACCTCATATAGGCAAGTTAACCCCTCATAGCATCAACACCATTTAGCGGGTAAGCTATGCACTATTTCGAGATAAATCGCCAGCCTTCAGCTTACGTTCGGTACGAAAGATACTCGATTGGTAGCCTCGTAGCGGTGAGCGTAGTGTATGGCGACTAGACTAGATGAAGTGCGAGCTGGTAAACCATGCTGCGTCATGTCCATGGATGCAAGTGGCTCAATAGTGTTTTGTAGCAAACCTTAGGTGCGGCGTTTGTTCAGCAATGGACTTGTGAAGGGCTGTAATGATGATGATGATGATGATGATGATAATAATAGTAAAACTATAATCTTTTATGCGTCCGTTAGTAAGTCGAATAACTTCTAAACATACACATAAGATATTATGGAACATATTTACACAATAGTTAATGGTGTTGTAACTATCCTAAGGACTGCGCTATAGTCAAGTAGTTAACGAATCGTGGCGCTATGTTCGTGTTATTAATATATAATATTTAATTCAAATGAAAACTCATCGTGCGTACGTGCAGAAAGACGTCTGAGAAGTCAGCATTTATCTCAAAACATATCACAATTAGTAATTCAAAACACAGCTATGTTTTACCCTTTGCATAAACTACTTCATTCAGGTAAATAACATTAGTAAGGTCTCCCGAAACTCCGTAAATACCTTCAGTGCATTGTGGTAGTTGCGGATTGCTTCTAAAATTATTTAACTATTGTTAGTTAAATCAAGTTTTAATTAACAAATGGTTATAAAGTAATATACTTTTTTTTTAGCTTAATTGATTTTTAGAAAAACATTTATTTATTTATTTATTTATTTATTTATTTATTTATTGACACACCAACAGCATAACATACAAAACATTACAATAATCTTCGTCTTATAAATAGTTTGGTATGCATGCCAATTACTGGTGCATACATCACTCTCATTAGAAGACATTAAATTAATTTAAGTTCAAAATAAATTTCAATTTACAAATTTTGAGTTGCAGCAAATTAATAAGTAAAAATCAAAAATCAAAAATCAAAAGTATAACAAAAAGAAGAATTTTAGTAGCATAAATATTAAATTACAAATCTAATTTACCAACAAAAATGTGCGGTAAGCTTTTTTTTCAGATTTGTCACTGAGTCATGAAAAATATCAAAATCTTTAATGGACGCGGAAAATCGATTGTACTCAGAACACATCCTTGATAATGGAGAATGTTTTAGAGCATTTGTTCTACTTACTGGTACAACAAGTATGTTAGTGAGAGGATTTCGTGGATATCTGTACGGGATTTTGAAATTTATTTCATTAAGCAATTCACTGCATGCCATCTGTCCTGACAACAGCTTTTTGAGGAATGTTATATCTAATATTATGCGGCGATTATAAAGTGACATCATTTTAAAGTGTTTCAGCCGCAAGTCATAGGTGGCCTTATGAGAGATGCCGGAAGTGTGATATGTCAGGTATCTAGTAAAGGATCTTTGTAGTCTCTCCAGACGTTGAGATGGTGCCGCGTATTGGGGACTCCACACAACTGATGCAAATTCTAGTTTGCTGCGAACCAGTGAGTTATAAAGGATTATTTTGGTTTGAGGAGAAACAAATCCTTTGGTATTTCTTTTAAGGAAACCTAACATCCTGGCCGCTTCTTTTACAGTTTTGTCCATGTGCACTTTGAATTTCAATTTCGTGTCCATTGTTACGCCCAAATCTCGAATCTCCTTAACCTCCTGTAACGTATCTAGCTCTAATTTATACGATGATGGCAATTGAACTTTTTTCTTTGTGTACTTAATGTGGTAAGATTTCTTCGTATTAATAATCATGCCGTTCAATTTGCACCACATATTTATTCCATCGAGATCAGCTTGGATGAGCTCCACATCATTATTTGAAGTAACGGTTTTGAATATTTTTAAATCATCGGCAAAAAGTGAGTATTTACAGTAATTTATAGATGAGGTAATGTCATTTATAAACACCGAGAAGAGAACAGGGCCTAAGTGGGATCCCTGTGGTACTCCTGAACATGCAACATACTCATGTGATATGTGACCGTTCAGCACCACAAACTGAAGTCTTTTTGCTAGGTATGAATTAAACCATTCCAGTAAGGTCCCACCAATACCAGACCCGCTCAATTTATGTATAAGAAGCGAGTGACACACCTTATCAAAAGCGCTCGAGAAATCCATGTATATACAGTCTACTTGTTGGCGTCTATCTATTTCTTTACTTAGATAGGACATAAATGACACCAAGTTCGTTTTGATAGAACGTCCTTTTCGAAACCCATGTTGAAATTCTGACATCCGACTTTCCAAGTGGCGCGTGACAATTGGGCAAACAAGGGATTCAAACAGCTTAGGTATACAAGAAAGTATGGATATAGGACGGTAGTTTTTGATGTCACTGCTGTCACCCTTCTTGTACACTGGAACGATCTTAGCTTTTTTCCACAATTCAGGAAATACCCCGTCATGCAAAGATCTATTGAAAAGAAGTGACAGTGGCAGAGTAAGAGTAGGACCGCAGCGCTTTACAAAAACAGGAGGGATCTCATCCGGACCGGCACCCTTGAAGATATCTAGTTTTTTAATGGCACGTTTAATTTCATGTTCACTGAATCTAATTACACTCAAATATGGCAAACCGTGCACTGCGGACTCTAGGCTATCAGGTAATACTGTGTTACTAAACACTGATGAAAAATTTTTAGCAAATAGTTCTGCAATTTTTGTACCAGTGTTTGCAATTTCGTCATCAAGGCTCATTTCGGCAGGTATAGTAGTTTCACCACCTCGCCTATCCTTAATATAGTTCCAGAAATATTTAGGATTCCTGACAATATTACCCTCGACCCGTTTTTTATAACTTTGTAGGCATGCGTCTATTATTTTCTTACTTCGCTCACGAAGTAATTCATACTCCAACCTATCGCGTGGATTTTTGTATTTCACAAATTTTTTTCTCTTGCTTTCTTTTTCCAAGATTATTCTGATCAGAGACCTGCTAAACCATGAGGGGAACCTGCTTTTTTTTGGCTTCAAAATAGGGACGTATGTTTTCACGGCATTGTTTAAAATACGGTAAAATACTGTGGTCATCTCGTTAACGTTTTGACACCTATCGAACTGTTGTGACCAATTAATTTCCCTAAGATGAGCCAAGATTAGATCATAGTTCGCTTTGAAAAAGTTGTGTCGAGGTTTTTGGGCTGGTTTAAGTAAGTTCGGTTTTAGTTCCGGTACAGTAATCAATAACGGAGGATGCTTTCGGTCAATTTTACTTATAACATTTAAGGAGTTAGAAACCTCTAAAGGAACACAGTTGGTTAGAACAAGGTCCAGCACTCTGCCATCCTCGTTAGGAATAGGGTTCATTTGTGTAATATTATTTAGCGCCATGAAATCAGTGAGTGCCAGACCCTGTGGTGAATCATAATTAAATGCACTGCATGAAACACCGTCCACACTGCGAGACCAACCAATGAAGCCCATGTTGAAGTCTCCCAACATTATAACTTGATCAGCTTTGTCCAAAATATCGTTAGTATGCTCTAAAAACCGAGTAAGGCTTTCCAGGTTTACTGGTGGAGGAAGGTATACCACACAAATTAGTATTTTGGTAACAATGTTATTTGTTTTTATATCAATTGAGACCCATAGATCCTCCGCATCGCTCTCCCAGCTTGAATGTCTGAAAGACGGTATATCCCTAGAAACAGCGACTAAAACCCCCCCTCCGTCTTTTTTAGTAGTTTCTGAGCACAATCGATCTCTCCTATAAACAATATAACGCTTATCTATAATTTCTAAGTTCGTTATATTGCTATTGAGCCACGTTTCAGTAAATACAATTACGTTGTAGTTATTAATCAGAATATTTTTAAAGACATCCTCTGTTTTAGTTCTTAAGCCCCGCACATTTTGATAATAAATATTTACAGGCATTGTGGCAAAAATTACTATTGACTACTACTTGGCTAATTTTAAAGCAATAACTTTAAGCTTTCGTCGTCTTTAATATAAATAGCATGACTTTGTTCGTTTTTCCTCGCAAGAATTCTTCCATCCCGTATCCACACAAACATGAACCCAGCCTCCTTGGCTTTCTTTCGGGCTGCAGCATGTAAATGTTTATTTGTGGGCGTCAGGTGTTCAGATACGAATACGGGCTCGCGACGTCCTCCGAGTCCAAGATGCTCGGTGTTGAGCTTATTATCCTTGTTCTTTTTGTTGAATCGTGTCACTGCAGCCAATAATTCATCGCGGTGTCGCTGACTGCGAAGCTTTACGATGACAGAACGAGGACGATTGCTCTCCTTGTTTAATTTGGCAATTCTTGTTACATGTAATATATCAGATTCAGCAATAGGACTCTCGACAATTCTACCAAGTTGTTCAACAGTGCTCAGGAGGTTCTCTGACTTGTGTTCGGGAATACCTGTAATTTCCACGTTACAAACGCGCATATTTCGCTCTATCTGCCCCAGTCTGTCCGTCAGGTTTTTAACCTGTGTTGTTAATTTTTCGTTCTTTGAAACCAGTCTATTGATTGTTTCTGATTTCTCGTTAACAGACTGCATAAGATCATCGTATTGTTTGCTTATAAATGACAGGGACTCTTGAAACCCAGATACTTGAAGGTTTAAGTTCGCTAGGTGCTCGGATACTAGAGATTTAATAGTGTCAGTAATTTCCTGTTTTATAATCATGCGCAACCTCTCCTCAGTTACACAAGAATCGCTGTTACCAGACTTGGAACATTTATTTTTTATTCTCGTAGTAACATTACTCTCCTCACTAGGACTCAGGATGGAATCTTCCTTAGAAGCAATGGGATGATTAGTTATACGTACAGGAGTATTCGAATTACCTGTTTTTGGTAGCTTACTGCGACATTGTTGGCAGTTCCATTTATTCCTACTTTCTGCATCCATCTGATAGAAGTGTTTAGATGTCAAGTTTGCGCAAAGCAAATCGTATCCAAGCTTACACGTGACACAAATCATATACTCCCTCCTTGGCAGAGAATTATGACACCCGGCACAAGTCTTCTGTGACGACATCGTATATAACCAATTTTTAAAACGTTGTAATTATTAAAGAGAAAAAATAAAATAAAATAAAATAAAATAAAATAAACCAAAAAAAAAAAAAAAAAACTTTATGCGGGGATTTGATCTTACGCCCTAACGAGTGTTGTGTTAGCCGTTAAACTATGTGCAAGCCACTAGACCACTAAGTAACTGATCATAAGTTGCGAAATTTTTAATTCGTATGAACTTTTTACGATTTCTTCTCAATAACAATGAGTAGATAATAATGAGTACAAAGTCCAATCCTTTGTTCACAGTTAAATTTTTCCGTTAGCAATGGATGATTTCAAAACTACTTTTTAGTTTTAGCACTTATTCAGACACTTTTTAATTACCGTTTTACAACACTTCGTCAGCTTTTTATCTATTGAACACTCTGATACAACTCAATACTAAAATTTTGTAGATATTTCACCATTTATCAATTTTTTTCTTCCACAATTACAGAAACACGTCTTCTCTCAACAAGCGCCCGGGTGCAATCATGTTGTTAAACATGTTGTTAAATTATTTAACATATATAACGTATTTTAAATAAAGTGTAATTAAAAATTTGTAGGTGTATCTTTCTTTTAATAAGTATAATATAGAGGCATATAAAAGGCAAAACACTTGCAAAATAAAAATCACAACATAATTTTAGCAATGAATTTATTTAATAGAAGATATTCTTCCAAATATTCCTTTGCTACCAATCTTTTTACTCTTGACATCTGTAAATATACGTAATATGTTCATTGTTTACTCATTATACTTCTTAAATTATTTTTTGACTTTGGACATAGCTTTACATAAGCTGAAGTAAATATTTAATAAATATCTAATAGTTAAAAAAAAAAAACAAAAAAAAAACTCGCTTTTGTAGGTAAACAAAGTATAAAGTAGAAAATAATTTTCAATAAATTTAAAATAACAAAATAGTGATTAACATAAAAACTCATTTTATTGTAAAAAAGTGTGGGGTGCTTTTTCAGATATTTTTATCATGACGCAAATTTTACCCCCAACGCTTTTTTTTATAATAATTTTTTTTTAATGTTAATAACTATTTTCTTATTTTAAACTTTTTTAAAATTATTTGCTACTTTTTAGTTCGACTATCTACAAAAGCGTGTTTTTTTTAAACGATTATTTGTTTTGTATTTTTTTAGTGCGGCTAACTACAAAATCGTGTTTTTTTTTTGGAACGAATAAGTAGATGGAACTGGCAGAAATCGTAGTTGTATTATGAATGATTCGCAAATCCTGAGGACCCTGGCAAGGATAATGGGTCAAACTATTTAAATTATTGCATAGCCATCGGTACTCGATAAATGTGCGAAGTTTCAAATCAATCCGGCGTTATTAAGGGGGTGAAAATCACATTAAAAAATTCCGATACAAACCAAGCCAATAAAAGTGCGTTAAAAAAACTCAGCAGTAAAGTTGACCTACATTGTAATAAGGCAACGACGTCTAAATGCATGTGCTAGAAAATGTTTCACAAAAGTAGGCGAATTGAGATTAAGGTTCTACGATGGTAAGTTTGACAGCCCATACATTAAACTAAAAGGCATCTTTAATTTCCCGTATCACTGAAAACTGTTTATTTTTTTTTCCTATAATTGCACCCGTAAACAATTTAGCAATGATAAGTGTACTTATAATATCAGCTTTTGTAAAATATTGATGGACTATAAAATATAATGTCGTAAACGTTTTTATGATTTTTTTTTAAATACTCGCAATCCACCCTGGCTTTACCTGTACGGGATCTATTAACGTGGAATTATTTAGTTTTTTAGATATTAATATACCATTTCCTTTAATTTTATTACTTTTTTTTAACAAAATATAGCCTAAATCACTTCTGGCATTACTGTCTATGTGTTCGTGAGGTTTCATTACAATCTGTTCGGCTATTCCGAAGATTAGCCCAGAGAGAGACAGACAGATAAACATTTTTAAAATAGTCAAAAATTTAAAAAAATCTCAGCTCAAAATAAAACAGTTATTTCGACAATACAGACAGGCACTTCAATTTTATTTACATCTATAAATTATTCGAATTATCTGAAGCCGCCACTACACCAGTGGCGGCTTAAGAAAAAATACGTTGGAAAGGCTGTAATGTATGGAGAGAATGGAATATATTATTATTATTAAATTAGAAATATATTTATATTTTGAACTACTGCGAGATAATTATTAATATAATGGCAGTGAATTTCAGAAGTATATCGCGAAGTTTTCCTTTGTTGGAACTTTAGAATTGTGACTGCAGAACTTAAGTTTCTTTAAGTGTGCCATCCGTGTATACCTTTCAGCAAAGTTATGAAGACAATGTGGAGTTTATAATATGTAAGTGGTATTCTTATTATAACTTTGTTATATATTGTCTAGCAGTATATTAATTTAATGTTAAACTAACAAGTTAGTATAAACTTTTAAATTCTGCTACCAAAAAAACTGCAATGTGAATGACAAAATAGCGTTTCGTTCCACGGTCAATTTGAATCAGGATATTAGCTAAGGCTAGCCGCACACACTCAATAATATTGTCAATGCAAGATTGTCAAAAATTTTCATCAATATATGATCCCGCACACTACGCAATATCATTGGCAATTTTTCATGGTATAATCTGACTTAGTCGCTCGGCAGCTAGATTCATGTGTGCACGATTAATATAATGGAGAGAAAGAAAAAGGCGTTGCATTGATACAACTACAAATACAGTCAATAACAAACACCCATAGCGCCGCAACCTAACGCTTAACCTCCTCTACCGTTTGAACCGTAGCCCGTAAGGAGCAACTACTTGGCCAACAAATAAATGTCCTGCTTTTTTATGTACTATAATATACATATTATGCTGAATAAGCCTCTACGATACACAGAAGAAATTGCTAGTTTCTCCCATATTGTAGAGGATTTTAATATACGTTCGTTAGTATGTATGTACTATATATTAATGTATGTATGTACATAAGTATGTCATCATCATCATTAAAGCCCTTCACAAGTCCACTGCTGAACATAGGCCTCCCCCAAAGAATGCCACAAAGCACGGTCCTGAGCCACCTGCATCCATCGACTTCCACCATATCTTACCAGGTCGTCACTCCATCTAGTGGGGGGATGCCCTACACTTCGCCTGCCGGTACGAGGCTGCCACTCGAGAAACTTTCTTCCCCAACGGTTGTCGGTTCTTCGAGCTATATGACCGGCCCATTGCCACTTCAGCTTACTAATCCGTTGGGTTATGTCGGTCAGTCTGGTTCTACTGCGGATATCTTCATTTCTGAGTTTATCACCCAGAGAAACTCCGAGCATAGCCCTCTCCATAGCTCGCTGAGCGACCTTGAGCTTCCTCTTCCAGCCAGCAGTAAAGGACCACGTCTCAGTTCCGTATGTCATCACTGGCAACACGCACTGGGTGTACAGTCTCGTTTTCAAGTTTTGAGGTATACCTGACGAGAAGATGTGCCGTAATTTCCCGAACGCTGCCCAACCGAGTTGAATCCGTCGATTAACCTCTTGGTCGAAGTTGGACTTACCTAGTCGGACTATTTGTCCTAGGTAAACATACTCGTCATAGGTGTGACATGGACATTAAACATGATCTTTGTTTTGTCCATGTTCATCTTTAGACCTATCCGTTGGGAAACACTATTGAGGTCATTGAGCATAGTGCTTAGGTCCTCCAGCGATTCTGCCATAAGGACTATATCGTCGGCAAATCGAAGGTGAGTGATGTACTCGCCATTGATGTTGATACCGTATCCTTTCCAGTCCAGAAGCTTGAAAACATCTTCCAATGCCCGCTGCATTGGAAGATGTTTAAATGTTAAAGAGTTTCGGGGATATGACGTCACCCTGTCTTACACCTCTCTGCAATTGGATAGGTTTCGTACTCTGGTTCTGTACTCGGATAGCCATCGTAGCCATACTGTACAAGCACTTCAACACTTCGATATACCGACAGTCAACTTGGCATCGCTGAAGGGACTACAGCACCGCCCGAATTTCGACGGAATCAAAGGCTTTCTCATAGTCCACATACGCCAGACATAGTGACAAATTGTACTCCTCGGACTTCTGTACGATTTGCCGAAGGGTATGTAAGTAGTCTATAGTGCTAAAGCCTTTTCGAAAACCGGCTTGTTCGGGAGGCTGAAAGTCGTCAAGTTTGCGCGCGAGACGATTCGTAATGACTCTCGAAAACAGCACGTAGACGCGGCCCAGAAGGGAAATAGGTCTGTAGTTCTTCAAGAGAGCATTGTCGCCTTTCTTGAAGAACAAGACCACCGCACTTCTGCTCCACGCCTCCGGTGTAATGCCACCATGGAGGACGGAATTAAAGAGCTTCTGAAGGACTTCAAGTACCGGTTTTCCACCCGCTTTCAGAAGTTCCGCTGTAATTACATCCTCGCCTGGGGCCTTTCCGTATTTAAGGTGCTGGAGAGCCATTCTAATCTCGCTCAGACTGACGTCCGGGATATCATCGGAATAATGTCGGATAAGACTCGCTCTTGGATCGTTTCTCACACTTGCGTGCGGCTCCAACGATGACGTGTACAGCTGCCCATAGAACCTCTCAATCTCACTCAAAATCTCAAGTGCCCCGGAAACGATGCTGCCACATTCGGTCTTCAGCTTTGACAGTTGGCCCTTTCTGGCAGACAGATCTCTGGCAAAGACTTTGGACCCTTGGTTCCGCTCGATCGCTTCTTCAATACGAGCTGTATTGAAGTTGCGTAAGTCCCGCCGCATGCATTTGGAGATCTGTCTGTTCAGATGCCTGTATGCTGTCAAATCTGTTGAAAAATGTAGCTTCATCTACCGTCTAACAGCCACGAGATTAAGAGTGTGATCGGAGAGTTTTTGTGTTGTTTGTAAGTCTTGCAGAACTTAGCTCCGACTGCATGGACAGTTTCCACGAGCTTGTCATTCAAATCGTCCACTTCATTGCAGTCTTCTAGGCACTGAAAACGGTTTTGTAACTCAAACTGAAAGGTTTCGGGACTTTGGATTAGAGCACGAGGGGGACGGATCGTTGACTTCATTAGACGAGACCTCTCCAACTTAACGTTTAGGTTCAGTGTGCCTATAACCATTCGGTGATCGCTGCCGGTTTTCGCCCTCGCGATCACTGAGACATCACTGAACAGTTGTCGTCTGGTCGTCATAATGAAGTCAATCTCATTTTTTGTCGAAACGTCGGGGCTCGACCAGGTCCACTTCCTGTGGGGCCGCTTCTGGAAGAAAGAGTTTATCATAAAGAGTCCCTCTTTCTCCATGAAGTCGGCCAGCTGCTGGCCCCTTGGGTTCCGTTGCCCTATTCCAAATTTCCCCACTTTCAGCTTACCGTTCTCTCTTGTGCCTATTTTTGCATTGAAGTCTCCCATTAACACCGTATATTGGGTTTTGGAGGAATGCATGACTCTAGAGATATCCTCATACATTTCCTCCACCTCCTGATCAGGGTGTGCCGA